TTTGGGGTTTTCTATTCACTGGGCTTCTCCCTCCCAGTCCTGATGCAGCTGTGAACCAGCCAAACACAGTGGCCTTGAGCTCCAGCAGCAACTAATAACATCAGTACTGTTATCAACGTTCCTCTCATAACAAGTCCCATACTGAAAATAAAACACAGCTATTTTAATTACTAAGAAGAAAATTAACTCTGTCCTAGCAAAACCAGGACACAGACTTTTCCTGATTAATGCAGGACAGTCTTATAGTTGTCTTTTATCATTGGTTTAAACTGTTAAAATGGTGTTAAGATTGAGAGAATGCACAGTATCTTCAGTATAAGCAATAATTTGGGTAAAATGCATTACATTTTCACTGTGATTATCCTCCAAATAAATAAAATAAACCTAGACAATACAGAAATTGAGTTGACATTAAAAGAAATGCAAGTATTATAAGCTATGACAATACATGCACCCAAGCAACAAGTGCTTATTAGTATAGTGATATTTATAGTCACACATTAAACTTCACCTTGCAGGAATCATTCATCATCTTTATTTTTCCCCTGTAGCTTTTTTTTCCTCTGCAGAGCAGAGGTCAGGTTGTTTGGGTGCATTAGGATATGGTAGAGCTTTTTTTGTTGGCTGTTTTGTTTTTGTTTTTAAACAATATGGGGAAGAGCAGCTTTCTTCTTGCTGCAGAAGGAATGTTCAGTGATGGAGGAAACAAGAGGCTTTAATGCTAAAACAGATTTCAGATATATATGTATACACACACACGCACATGTGTGCATATATGCACATTTTACTTTATGAGAAGTTGGAGTTGCTTTATTTTTCCATTAAACTAATGTATAAATATAATTTTTGCAAAACATGGTTCTGTCTAAAAGATGTCAGGGCATAAGTTACAGGTTGTATCTGTATAAATACAACCCCTTTCCTTAAAATACTGTTTAAAACAAGTATGTGGTGTCTTTACTTGCAAAATACTGTTTCACACTGCCATAGAGATTTCAAGATATGTACAAAATGCAGTAACAGTTTAAAATTATATCAAAAAATGTGTTTCAGGTTCAGATGTACATTTTTCACTGTCCTTAAGATTAAAATCTTCCTATAATGCCAATGGTGATAGCATTATCACAGCACCATATTTTTGCTTTATCACTGTTGAAGAGTATTGTTAGTAAGTGAAATTTGGGGTATTTGACCTCTATGCCCTTTCTCTCCCATATAATGAATATTTTTAAATTTGCAAAACCTTTTAAAGTTCTCATGCACGATTTTCCTCTGTATGGTGTGCAAACATAGGAACATCTCTATGTACTATGGTCAAAGAGCTTCTCTGCTTTCCCTCTCCTGAAAGGAGTTAACTTGATTAATCATCTTGCATAAAACCAGAGTTACTTAACAAGAGCATCCTGAAAATACTTATTCAAAGTCTGGACTGAGTTGAGCTTTGGGAAGGGAAGGAAGGGAAGGGAAGGGAAGGAAGATTTCGCAGTAAATCTGTGAAATGAACAGGCTGGTTGCCTGCTCTTGGGGAGGTTTTATTGTATCCATTCCCATTAATGCTCCGAGATTAGCAGTTAGTTTATGTCTCTGTAACCACAGAGGGTTCAGAGGAGTGGCCTGTACTCTGTTGAGCTGCTCTTCACCTCCCTTTATTTTCCCCTGGTTAGCAGGTGGGCTTCTCATAGCCTATAGGTTACCAGTTTCTTTTCTCCCCCAGGGTTCCTCTGGGTTGTGTGGAGAAGGGCAGAGCCTACTACCTGAAAGCAATGAAATGTTCTCAGGCAGTGCTCTCCTGCTGTGCCTCTCTTCATCCCTCCTCAGTGCTGTTTCCATCACAGAGAAGTTCACTGTCAGAAACTTTTGCGATGGAAATCTAATGTTAATTGGCAGAGCCTGGAGCTCACCCAGAGTATATAACATATGCTAGTATTTAACATCTTTGAACCAGACGTTCAGCAAAACCAGAGATCTGACATCTCTGGAAATAATCACACACCAGCCTCATCTGCAGCCTTCACTCTTCCTATTCTGAGTGACACCTCCACCCATATCTGACAAAATTCACAGCACTTTCCAGATCATAGAGAGCTCCAGAGCAGATACCACACATTGGCATATGATGAGAAAGCGTGAGGCTGTGTCATCGCTAAGGCAAAAGTTGCTTTTAAGGTAGGCTTCTCGAACACTGGCTCCCTTTCCTTCCTCTATACTAAAGCCACTCCAGAGTTGCCAGATATTACTGTTACTTTTTCCTATGCACATGCCCTAAGGATTTCTCCTTGCATACTGTTCGGTGTTATCTATGTCCTGCCATGTTTTTACCATAGAATTTTATGGACCCAGTATATGCTTGAACATATTGAAGAAATAAAATAATTCCGCATGGTTATGCATGATTGAAAATCTTCTTTCTCTCAACTGAACTGTAAGATCTACTGCACACTAGTTGATACAGCTTTCCTAAGTACAGATTGCTGCTTGGATATAACTTAATGATACAGTTTTGTAGGATAAGTACATTATATAATATGGGAAACTTATTTGTTCTATAAAATTGGTTATTCGAATGTAGTCTTGGCAGAGACATACTATGTAGTATTCTCCTAAATTACGGGAAGCAGATGTAGTGTTGCAGGGTATAACTGTTGTACTTGTTTATTTTCAGGTGTTTGAGTATAGGTATGTGCTCTGCTTTAGAAGAGTTTCAAGACCAACATTTAATATCGTTGTGAATTTACAAAAGTTTGTGGAGAATGAATACTGAAGAAATTAAATTCTCTTTCAGCTGTAATGTAAAATTGAAATAATACCATGTTTCTAAACCTGATTGTACTTGCTGATCTCTAATTCATATTAGAATGGTTTCCCCATGCTGCTACAAACAGTTATCTCCTACAAGTAACTACAGTTTAGCTAGGCCATTTTTAAATTATGTAAAGCTGTCTTGTGGCAGTGTTCTTTCTGGTTTTAGTTTCTCAATCTACTGCTTTTCTTATGCAATGTACAGCTTCTCTTCTTTCTCTGAAAAGGTCTTGGAGCCCCTCCCAGTCCTGGGGTAGCTAGGAGAGAAGTAGAAGGTAACATAACAATTTTTGTATTCTAGAAACAGATTTCTAATTTAATACCTGAGTAATATTATTGCTATTGTGATACTAAAGGTGGTTTCATTAAGGTATTTATTGTGTAGGATCTTTCTTTTTATTTAACTTAGTTTTCAGACAGCCCAGTTGCTTCCTCTTTTTCAGTGATGGTGTGAATTGTTACTGAAGGCAGTCTTCATTTATGAAAAATGAAGTGAAAACTCAGACTGCAGTAATCAAGAAGAATGTTTTCAAGGCTGCCTCTCAGAGGAAGCTGTAGCTGACTGATTGCTAGAGTAAATGCTATACCTGTAACTAAATCAGGAATTTAGGAAGCCTAACTCCTCATAAAGAACTATGTCTGTTCTTATATTTTGTTGAGAGAAACTTCCATTTAAATAATTTAGCCTATAATTTAATATTTTGTCCCTTGCTGAAGAGTGTAGGTATTTTGATTCTGGCATTTAAATGTATGTAACATACATTTATGAGGAGCATTTCTCTTGTATTATTCTAGTTGGAGTATTTGTGTGTAGTGTTGAATGGGTCCTGTTTTAGCCATGCCAGCAGAATCAAGTTTTTTGGGTTTCTTCCTATCCCCTCAGGAATGTGTCCCTTTGTAGCAAATACAGTTATGGCAGTAAAAGTCCTAATATAGTCACAGTCAAGATGTCCTCCTGTATACTGCAATTAATTTTGGTTGTATTGCTGGTTCATTTTTCTAAATTGGCAAAATCACTATATGCATAAAACAGTTCAGGTTGGAAGGGACCTCGGGTGCTTATCTAGTTCAACTCCTCCTCAAAGTAGGGTAAACTGGTGCCAGGTTGCACAGGGTATGAGAACTGTACCCAGAAACCCATTCTAACTGCTTCTAAGAAAGCAGAGTTGTCTGACAACTGGAAACTCATTTGATAAACTAAGTCTCTTATGTACCACAGAGTATTCCTTCTAGTTACTGTAACTGACATGGTGATTTTGCCTTCCTGGGAAATAGGCAGCAGAAACACAAGGCAGAATCCTAAACCTCTTTGCCTGTTAGAAATTGTGCTCTTGTCTGAGGTAAAGGTAATTTTTTCGTATCTTGCACTTCACAACTTCAGTGTTGCATACAAGGCTGTCGTTAGCATCAGCATGTAAATGTTGAGGTTGGTGCTGAAATATAATTACCCCATAAACAAAAAGAGTACGTTCAGGAACTTTGGTGTAGACCCTGTAGATTGCTGAACCATGTATAATTACAGATGTACTTTCCTGTTTGTGTGATTTTTTTGTTATGTAAGTTCTTTTTGTTTTGAAGACTGCTGCTAGAATATTTGCAGAATACACTACAAAAGAAAACAACTCCTTCTAGCACAATTGAGAACACAGGGTACCTGTACAAGTCAGCGTCTTTAGCTTGCAACAAATAGGAGGTGATTTGACTTAATTTGTAATTAGAAGGGTCAAATTACTTAATGTGTGCCGTGGGATAAGAGCATGCTAGAGTAACAGCCTAGTGGGTGGATAGACTTTAATATGTAACACCTTAAAAAAAAAATCACTAATGTCTTTTTGCTCCCATTTCCATTAGTGATAATGTACCATTGCTGTATCCATACCCGTTTGTAGCCTGTCTAACAAAGATAATCTATTTCTTTTTCCATGCTTCAAAGCACAAAAAAGTCCTGGAACACAAAGAAAGGATAACTTAGGTAATACAGATACATGCTTTGTACTAGTTATAATACAGAAAGAACCTGATTTTGAAATACATTCTAAGTCATCAATCTCTTAATATCTGTTTCAGTTCGTAATCAGCCTCCACCTTCAACTGGAATTTCAAGTGCAGGAACCGCTGGATATGGTACAACCAGACCGGTAGGTATTAGTCTTAAAATTATTTTCCTCCCAAGTTTCTACAGTTTATTGCACTGGCATTTTTGTCAGTCATAAAACATGTGAGAAAACTGCAAAATTGACTAATCACTTTACTGCTTATAGGAGTTAATTACTTCAGCAATTCTTGTCTGTTGACTAAAAATACTCCAGAATATATATACTGGACATGACTTTATTGTTTTGCACTCTGTGCAATCACTTCTTAGGCTCCAAAATAATAACACATTTTACATCAGCTTTCAAATAACTGCAAAGTAATTATTTGTATTATATCTTCCTATTGACTACATTGCTGATTTGGTATGATAAAATGTATTATCTTCTGTGCTGAAATGTATATCCTGATGGCAGTTAATTGCTTGCAGGCAGTTAATGTATTATGTAGGCAGTTGATGTATTATATTGCTGATTACTTGATGTGTTAAGGAATTTTGTACTTTGTTTTAAAAACTAATTTTGATAAAATGAAACATACAACTATTTCAAAATATTCAACAAACATCAGTTCTGCATTTCATTCTTTTATTTGTGAAACTGAACTGAAGGAAGTGAATGAAGGATTTATGGGTGCTCGAATGCTTAACTGCAAGCAGGAATTCAAGAGATGGAAGATGTCTGCCTTATTTCTCTTCACAGCAGCAAGTAGGAGACTTGCATTTGGGAAGGAGAAAGTGTTTTAATAGCTATAGGTCTTCTTAAAGAATTACTAAGAAATGGTATTGTTTGTTGACAGACTTTGCACCATATTTCAGAGAGAATTTTTGCAGCATTATGGAAGACTTTTATTTCTATATCTACATCAACCACAGTATTTGTGCTTACTTCGTTTCCTCTGTGGTGGCAGTTCCAGGCTCTTTGACTTAGTTCATACCTCTTTATGCCTGGACATTTTATAGACTGAAAACCAGCAAAAGTTGGCTCTTTCTTATCAGTTTCTTGGTCATTAGAGAACTTTGTTTTTCTTTTCTAAGGCATTTTGCTCTTCTCATTGGGCTAATGTTTACAATGACACTGACAGGATGGAGAGCACAGATACAAACCTTCAGAAAGGCTAAAAACATTCTGCTTGTGTAAACATCGGTGGGATAGATACCGATGAGGTTTTTGACCTATCTACAAATATGGCACCTCTTCTTTAATGGCATATCTCTATTTCAGATAAAGTGATAGACCAGTTGCTGCAAATGAGAAGGAGTGTGATGAAGCTATTAAAATAAAGATGCAGCTAACCACAAGAGTTTAAGTTAAATCCATATAAATTTGGTTTATAAAAGGTTGTAGAGTCCTTTTTCACCTTTTAAATGAGCAAGAAATGAAAAGATCACTGCCAGCTGTGCAGAGATACAAGTTCGTTTAGAGCTTAAAGGAGCGTTACCTTACTGGTATTGCCATTCCTGTTGTACTTTTGTATAACATTGAAACCGCTGAAAACTACTGTTGAAAGCCCCCATTGAAATCACTGTTTGCTGATGCATTTTTCTCAAATTGATTCTCACAGTTCTCGATCTTTACACCTTTTTGTCATTTTCCCAGAAATGTAAAATACCCTTTTATAAGATCTGGTTAAAGAAAACCTGGTATACCCAGGAAAGAATGTATTCATTTATCACCATATGCTTCCACCCACCCCCCCCC